CTCCTTGAACCCCACCATTCTCTCCCTTTCTGATGCACCACTTTTCACGCCCACAGTGAATTTTCTTGTTTCAGTAGTGTCACTGGAGGGAGGGAAACACACTCCAGGAAAGTAACCCTTGCAATAAGCATGGCTGTTGGCTCCCTTAATCAGGGACAGTGGCAGCTTCAGGGGCTGTAGTCAGAGCATTGCAGAGTCTCCCCCAGCCCTGGAAGGACTGAGCGCAGGTGTCAGAGTTCTGATGCTGCCATCTTGAATTCCCAATGGTCTAACGGTTGACTCTATATTTGGTTAGCGAAGTAGAAGGGGCGTCGGAGCATGTGTTGGGGTCTGGGGCTCGGAGGCCTGGCTCACACACGGTTCTGCTCCCCAGGGACATGCTTTTAAAATTCCCCCCACCCTGCACCCTCTAGAGTTCTGGGCCCTGATTGGCCTTTTCCTCCCTGCTGCCACCCAGCAACTGCTTTTGGCAGGATCCCAGGCACAGGCGTGGGATCGATCAAGCTGTCTCAGGGCAGCAACACCACTGTGTGGTTGGTGGGCACTGTGCCGCTTGCCCATGCTGACTGGGGATGCAGAAGTGGCAAGACTTTTGGGGTCATCCATCTGCCTTGTGCCAGAGCAGTGGGCCCAGGAGAAAGGGAAAGAGAGGACCCGGCAGTCAATGTAGCAGCACAGCTTTGAAGGCTGTAGGAGTCTCCACTGACCTCAAAGGCAAGGTCATTACACTGGCAGAGGAGAGAGAAAGAGAGTGTTCCCAGCCACTGGCTCACTCCCCCAGAGACTCACAACAGCCAGGACCCGGCCACGCTGAAGCTGGGAATCAGGAACTCAATCCAGGTCTCTCACCTGGATGGCAGGAGCCTACGACTTGAGTCCTCATTCACACCTCTCTGGATTTCCATTAGCAGGAAGCTGGAGTCAGGAACCAGAGGAACCAGAGGTGGATACCACACCCTGGCACTCCCATGTGGGACATGGACATTGTAACTGCTAGCCCAACACCTGCCCCAATCTAATTTTTAAATATGTTTCCTGGAACCCTGTTTCATTTTTTATTTGGAAGGGAAAGAGGGGTAGAGAGACAGAGACAGAAACAGGAAGAGATCTCCTATTGCTGGTTCACCCCCCTAATGCTCTTGGCAGACAGAACAGGACAACTCTGAAGCCAGGAGCCAGGAACTCCATCTGAGTCTCCCATGCACACAGTAGGGACACACGTACATCATTGGCTGTTACCCAGGGTGTGCATCAGCAGGAAGCTGGATTGGAAGCCAAGAGTTGAACCAAATACTCCATTATGGAATGTGGGCATCCCAAGTGGCAACTTCTAAGCCTCTGCGCCAAGTGCCTGCCCCACATCTGTTTTTTTTTTTTTAACAGAAACCCCTAATTCCATTTTACAATGGGCCTCACATATTATAGAACCATCCCTGATGGGGAGGCTCAAGATTTCTTGAATTATAAGCACTTGACTCTCATTTTTAAACTGGCAAACAGTGTGTATTTATAAGGCAAGCTACAATGTTTGATATATGGATGCACTACAGCATGATTAATACAATCTAATTAATGTATCTGTCACGTCACATACAAAGGTACTTGTAAACTTCAAAAAGTTTACCGAGGGGCCAGCGCTATGGCATAGCAGGTAAAGCCTCCACCTGCAGTGCCGGCATCCCATATGGGTGCCAGTTCAAGTCCCAGCTGTGCTACTTCCGATCCAGCTCTCTGCTACTGCCTGGGAAAGTAGTAGAAGATGGCCCAAGTGCTTGGGCCCCTGCACCCACATGGGAGACCTGGAAGAAGCTCCTGGCTCTTGGCTTTCAATGGGCTCAGCTCTGGCCATTGCAGCCAACTGGGGAATGAACTAGCAGATGGAGGACCTCTCTCTCTCTCTCTCTCTGCCTCTCCTTCTCTCTCTGTGTAACTCTTTCAAATAAATAAATAAATCTTAAAAAGTTTATGGAGAACAAAATTTAAGAGTAAATTTATTTTTACTCTAAAATGCTGAAATCGTTGCAAAGGTTTTTTTTTTTCATAATACACATTTTCGTCAACTCTCTAAAGATCCCTTGCATGCAAGGATTTCAGAAAATGTTGACAAATAATTAAAGTTGTCATTTAATTCCATTTTCCATGAACTTTCTGAAGTCTCGTCACACTTCCGTTGTTATAGTGGGAGCATTTTGAAATACATAGTACATTGTCATTGTCAATCTTTTTTTTTAAGGCATGCATCGATTTAAAGCAACGCCAGAGAAACAGAATGCTGATGAGAAGCACCTGTCTCCCTGGGGAACCGGCAAGGGAAACAAGAGGGAAGTGCATGCCGTTCTCCAGCCAGGAGCAAGGCCACTGCTTTCCCCAGGTCTGGCAGATCCTCCTTGTTGTTTGCTTGCACTTTCGGTGGTAGACAGGGATCAGCTTTGTTTCACAGCAGAGGGAACACAGAGCCTGCAAAGCTAACTGGTTCACCCAAGACGCCGGCTGAGCTGGTGGCTGCTGCGCATCCGGCTGCAAGCTTTGGTTGAAGGATGCTAATGCCCAGGCCGCCCGTGTTTCTCACTCCTTGGAAAAAAAGGAGAAACCTGCTCTAGACCCCCGGTTCTGCCTAAACTCATCTTTATTATAGTGTCACTTAAATATGCCAGAATCTAAACTCTGCAGGCTCCCTGGGCTTATGCAAAAAATCAAAATAAAGTCTCACATTAAATGCAAATGAAAGCACAAAATTCATTGCATTCAGATTCATGATAAGGAAATGGGTGACAATTTGCTCACATTAAGTCCAGTGAATGCAACTAATTTGAGTGTAACTGCTATTGTGCACAACTGTGGAAAACATGCTTTTACGGCTTGTCCTCTATTAAATAATTCTGAACTTTGACTCTGCTTCTGGGTCTCAGAGGAACTTCTAAGCCCAAGAATGGATAGCATACAATGATGTCACTAATGTCAAGGTACTTTCTAGCATTTTATTATTGTTATGATATTTCCAGTTCAAGATGATCAGAACTCGTGCTTAACAAAGATTGCCACTTCTGATGGTGAATTGCCGGGTCGCTGTATGAAGCTGTGCTGCTCACTTGGAGATAAATCTGATCGTGGCTCTCCCACACGGGTGCAGGGGCCAGAGGACTTGGGCCATCTTCTACTGCTTTCCCAGGCCTTAGAGAGAGCTGGATCAGAAATGGAGCAGCCGGGACTCAAACCGGTGCCCATATGGGATGCCGGCACCGCAGGCGGCGGCTTTACCTGCTACGCCCAGTATTTCAATATTTTAACACGAAGGTGTGGCTGCCCAGATACAGCCAATGTCAGCTCTGCCTCTTACATAAACTGGTCCTGCCCTGGCCAGCGCAGCGGCTCAGTAGGCTAATCCTCTGCCTTGTGGAGCCGGCACACCGGGTTCTAGTCCCAGTTGGGGCGCCGGATTCTGTCCCTGTTGCCTCCCTTCCAGGCCAGCTCTCTGCTGTGGCCAGGGAGTGCAGTGGAGGATGGCCCAAGTGCTTGGGCCCTGCACCCCATGGGAGACTAGGATAAGTACCTGGCTCCTGCCATGGGATAGGCGCGGTGCGCTAGCCACAGCCCGCCCGCCGGCTGCAGCAGCCATTGGAGAATGAACCAACAGCAAAAGGAAGACCTTTCTCTCTGTCTCTCTCTCTCACTGTCCACTCTGCCTGTCAAAAAATAAAAAAAAAAAAGAAAAGAAAAGAAAAGAAAAGAAACTGGTCCTGCCCTGAGTCACAACCTTTCCAATCACTGCTCAGGGGAGAATGGACATAAACACGTGTGAGACTAGTGTGCTGTGAGCATGTTGGCTGTCACGCTGGGGGCCACATGAGACCCTCGACCCAAATCAAGCGATCAAGAAATTTCAGCCCTCCTTCACTATCCACGGGGGACTGTTCCAGGACCCACTGGGAAACCATTATGCCAGTGCTTGACTCCCTTGTGTAAAGTGGTATAGTATCTGCATAGAACCCATGGACATTCTCCCCGTATGTGTGTATAGAGGGGTCCTTTGACAATTCACTGACAACGGGATTACAATGGGATTATTTTAATGTGAAAGGTGTGTTTATGAAAAAAGTTTGAAAAGATTTTTTTTGCAAGTCATGAAAATGAGAGATCTTGTAAAACTTCCTGAAAAATGTATTGTGGAGAAACGGGGTTCTCTCTGTAACCCTCACTTTCAAACTACATCAGTCTTAAGCACAAAAATCAGAAAGCCTCAAGATGTGACTCCAACAGCAGAGAGCATCCTCCTGAGACACTCCCTGAGTTTCTTCCTCATCCAGTCTCCCTGGGCTGGCCCTGCCTCTCCCCAGCAGGCTGCCCACCTCCCCTGAGACTCCCCTGCCCTGGGATCTTCGTCGTATGGCAGGAGGAGGAAGCTCCTCCTCCTCTTCCTTCCTTTTCTCCTTCTTTTTTTCATTACTTTGGCTTAGAATTTGTTTGTTCACTTACTTATTTACTTACAAAGGCAGAGGGAGAGAGACAGAGATGGACAGATACATAGATCTTCCATTCACTAGTTGGGTTAAGTGCCAGGGCTGAGCCAGGCTCTGAAGCCAGGAGCTTGTAACCCAATTCCAGTCTCAGACATGGGACCCAAGTGCTTGAGGCACCCCCTGCTGCTTCCCAGGGTTTGATTTCCAAGGCTGCCCTGTGGGAAGGGGTTGAGATTTTTAGCAAGGCACTTTGGAAGACACAGTCAGCTCTGCTGTGTGCAGGTGCCACCTGCCATGGGTCGAAAGAATTTGTGAAAAAAATCTCATCTGTACTGAACAAGTACATACTTCTTTTGCTTTTCATAGTTCCTAAACAATACACTCTAATAACACTTTGCATAGCAATTCTATTGTGTTATTAGGTATTATAAGCAATCAGGAGCTGATTTTTTTTAAAAAGATATATTTTATTTATTTGAAAGAATTACAGAAAGAGGTAGAGACAGAGAGAGAAGTCTTCCATCTTCTGGTTCACTCCCCCAGATGGCCGCACAGTTGAGCTGATCCAAAGCCAAGAGCCAGGAGCTTCCTCCAGGTCTCCCATGTGGGTGCAGGAGCCCAAGGACTTGGGCCATCTTCCACTGCTTTCCCAGGCCACAGCAGAGAGCTGGATTGGAAGTGGAGCAGCCAGGACTTGAACCAGCGTCCATATGAGATGCGGGCACTGCAGGACAAGGCTTTAATCTGTTGCGCCATAGTGCCAGCCCCTCTGGAGCTAATTTAAGTATATGGGAGAATGTACATGGGTTCTATGCAAATATTACACCACTTTATACAAGGGATTCAAGCACCTGTGGATAATGGTAACACAGTGGGTCCTGGACCAGTCCCCTGTGGATAGTGAAAGACAGCTGAAATTTCTTGATCACTTGATTTTGGTAGAGGGTCTCATGTGGCCCCCAGTGTGACAACCAACATGTACATGTGATTCCAGTGTGGTGCACACAGGGCTACATGCTGTGCTTGGCTGTTTGCTCTCTGGCTGTTGACGGCTCTGTGGACCCTCCTGCCTTGCCTGCAGATAAAGGAGATGAGGATTAGGGAATCCCAGAGCAGGCTCAATATCCTAACTAGCAATCTAAACCAGCCAGGAAAGTCAGAGAAGGAACTGATTCTCTCTCTCTTTCTCTCTGACTGTAGAATGCACAGAAGCCCCGTGAGCATAAGTAGTATTTTGGGTAAAAGAAAGGAGAGATAAACCCAGGTAAATACTCAGACTAAGGACAAGAGATGCACATATTTAGCATAAACTTAGATTTTAGTGTCTTCAAGCATACAACTGCTCACTATGCTTGCATCACAGGGATCCCCTCAAGGGGTCCCCGAGGGAATTACAATGATTAAAATAATGCAGAAGAGCAAACTCTTCTAAGGGGTGGTGGCTCAGCTCACATGAAACAGTCTTTAAAGAAAGGAGAAATCTGCTATATAGGGGATTTTGTAACACTGACTTACTTATGGAGAATCATAGACACACACACACTCACACACAGAGAGAGAGAGAGAGAGAGTGAGCGAGAGAGAGAGAGAGAGAGGAAATATTCTGTTTGCTTGTTCACTCCCCAAATCCCAAATGTCTGCAATAGTCGAGGCTGGGCCAAGACAAAGCTAGGAACTAAGAGTTCAGTTCAGTTCAGGTCCCCACACAGGTGACAGGGACCCAAGTACTCCAGCCATCACCTCCTGTCTCCCAGAATGCCCGTTAGTAAGAGCTGGGATTGAGTATTGAACTAGAACTTGAACCCAGATACTCTGATATGGGATACAAGTGTTGCAACTAGCATCTTGTCCACTAGGCTAACCACCCACCCCTGTTACAGGGTGTTTGTTTGAAGGCAGAAAGCTTAGGGTATTGTGTGTTTAAGCAGACTCACTTTAAATAAAACCATCAGACACTGTAGCAGTGGAATTCCCAGTCCCGACAAGGGAGTGACTTTTATGCCTGCTCTGTTGGAGCAAGGGACGCCCGGAGCCTCCTGCAAAGTTTCTCCCCGAGACAGTGATCGACGAGAGATTATTTGGTGACTAAATAGAAAAGACAGACATAAAATCACCCACCAACTTTCCAGAACAGTCTGCAGCTGAGATTCACGGCGAAACTGAAGCAAAGCCCAAACAGCGCTCGTCTCCTGTATGAACCCAAATGACTTCCTGGCTTCCCGAAATGAGGCCTCCGACATTTTTTCCTGGCAGTCCTGCTGAGAAGAAGAGATAAATTGGAATTCCTGAGATGATCTGGGATGCTTATCAGCAGAAACAGCTTCGAGGGAAAGGCCTGCTCTCTGTCTCCCAGATGGGAAGAAGCCATTGACAGGAAGACCTTTGATAAGAAGGCAGCAGGTAGGGCTCATCTGTTCTTCACAGAAAGAAGTTTATCTGCAAAATAACCAAGAGTCCTTAAACACCGCCCCCTGATCCCTCACCCCAGCCAGCCCTTGCTCCTTCTGCCTCATTTGTGGCCGTGGCGGTGGCTCTGGTGGTTGGTGGTGGCCGTGGTGGCGGTGGCCATGGTTACTTTCTTCTAAACCTTGTCCCTCTTATGGCTCTCACAAACACCAGGATTCTTCTCGGCGGCCAAGGGGAGGCAGCCTCAGCGTGACTGCTCAGGGGCTAAGAGGATGCTCCATAGTGATGGCAGTGTCTGTTCCGCTTTCTGGACTGCGGGGTGCCTGTCCCCCACTGCCTGCTCTGACCACCCCCGGGGCTCCCGTTGGCAATGCCCCACATAGACTATGTGCACTTTCTGGTTCTTCCCCAGGGTCAAATTCAATCTCCAAAGGCAAACACTCATTGCACTTCCTCAATACTAACACTCTTGCATGTTTTCCTGCTGCAAGATCTCAAGGTTTTATTAGTCCGGAGGGGACCAGAAAAGGCACAGAAAGGCCCCGCCTTGCGTGGCAGCACCAACTTCAAAACCCGTGAGCTAAAAGCAAGAAAAGCCCCAAACATCAAATGGAGACTTGCAAAGAGGATTTTGACTTAGGAAGAGTTTTGAATGTGCATTCCTGCGGGAATTCTGATAGCAAGGTGAACACAGTTTGCGTAGGGAAGACTCTGCTAAAGGTGATTTTGAGATGATTTTGCCTATTTTCAGTGGCAATGTTCGGAGGCTATTAGGGAAAATACGGAACTAGTCTGTACCACTCTCCCATTTAAACCTATTCACGTGCCCCTGTGGCACTACTCCCATCCACCAGAGTCCTACTAATAGAAAAGCACAGAAACGGGGACTGGTGCTCTGGCTTAGTAGGCTAAGCCTCCACTTGTGGCGCCCGTATCCCATATGGGTGCAGGTTCGAGTCCCAGCTGCTCCACTTCCGATCCAGCATCCCTGCTGATGACCTGGGAAAGCAGTGGAAGATGGTCCAAGTGCCTAGGCCCCTGCACCCACACAGGAGACCCGGAAGAAGCTCCTGGCTTCAGATCCGCTCAGCTCTGGCCATTGTGGCCATTTGGGGAGTGAACCATAGGATGGAAGACCTCTCTTTGTCTCCGCCCCCCCACCCCACTCTGTAACTCTGCCTGGCAAATAAATAAATATATTTTTTTTTAAAGAAAAGAACAGAAACCTAACCTAAAAAGGCTTAGGTAGGGGCCAGCTTCGTGTGGCTGTGGGCCAAGCCACCACTGGCAATGCTAGCATTCCATGTCAGAGTGCTGGTTGCCACTTGGGGAAGCAGTGGAAGCTGGCTGTTGGTGCTTGGGTCCCTGCCACCTGTGTGGGAGACACGGATGGAGTTCCAGTCTCCTGGTTTCTACCCAGCCCAGTCCTAGCTGTTGCAGCCGTTTGTGCAGTGATCCAGTGGATGGAAGATTTCTCTCTCTGTCTGCCTTTCAAATAAATAAATATTTTTTAAAAGAATCTCTCTCTGTTTCTCTATTTCTCCCTTTCTCTCTGTTTCTTTACCTTTCAAATGAAAAAAAAAATCCATTTTTTTTAAAGAAAATGTTTGGGTAAAAAGTAAGCTTCCTGTCCCCTGATCTTATCTCTACACACTATAAACATCTACTGAAACGTCACATCGTATGTCACAAGCGGGTACAATTACTAGATGTCAACTAAAATGGAAAGTATATTTTATTTATTTATTTTAAAGGTTTATTTATTTATTTGAAAAGAACAGTTATGAAAGAGAGATCTTCCATCTGCTGGTTCACTCCCCAAATGGCCACAACAGCTGGAGCTGGGCCAATCCAAAGCCAGGAGCCAGGAGCTTCTTCCAGGTCTCCTACATGGGTGCAGAGGCCCAAGGATTTGGGTCATCAGCAGGGAGCTGGATGGGAAATGGAGCAGCAGGGACTCAAGCTGGCACCCATATAGGATGCCAGCACCACTATGCCATAGCGCTGGTCCCCAAAAATATATTTTTTAAAAAAGAGGCTGATTGGCTCACATAGCTGCAAATTCTAGGATAGATCCAGGATGTTAAATGCGTCCCTTGATCCTCAACGCTTCCCATGTTGTTTTATTTCCCAGGTCAATTCTTCCCATGCAGCATCGCTCAGTGCAATGGGCTCCCGGAAGGATTTCTCTTTCCTCCTGCATTGCATCCCCCAGGGCCTTTGCATCCACTTCCGGTCATGTGACCAGTTCTAGCCAATAGACTAGCCCATCTACTCCAGACTGGAACAATTGCCAGTGTACTTCCTCTTCAGTCAGTCACTGGCTGGGCACTGAGAATTTTTTTTTTTTTTTTTTTTTTTGACAGGCAGAGTGGACAGTGAGAGAGAGAGACAGAGAGAAAGATCTTCCTTTGCCATTGGTTCACCCTCCAATGGCCGCCACGGCCGGCGTGCTGCGGCCGGCGCACCACGCTGATCCGAAGTCAGGAGCCAGGTGCTTCTCCTGGTCTCCCATGGGGTGCAGGGCCCAAGCACTTGGGCCATCCTTCACTCTCTTCCCCGGGCCACAGCAGAGAGCTGGCCTGGAAGAGGGGCAACCGGGACAGAGTCCGGCACCCCAACCGGGACTAGAACCCGGTGTGCTGGCACCGCAAGGCAGAGGATTAGCCTAGTGAGCGCAGCGCCGGCCCGGGCACTGAGAATTTAGCATTAAAAGGTTAACCAAGGCTCTAAGGGACTCTGAGGACCCGGGGTGTGGCAGAGCCAGTCGACAAAGTGAGCCCAAGTCCCCTAGTTAGGAACCCCTGGGTGAGCAATGGGTTTGTTTCTTGAGAAAGAAACCCGCTGCTGGGATTCAGGGGATGTTTGCTCCAGCAGCTGACGGTACTCGCCCCGTGTTTCCGTCGTGTTCCCGAGTCCATTACTGCTGTCAGTCAAGAGGGGTTTGCTAAGTAGCTAAATGTGAGTAGTCCCCGGCCCAGCCTTGAAGCTCCAAGTGCAATAGAGCCCTCTCCGGAAGCACAAAGCGTCAGACCGAGCAGCAGCTTCCCACAGGAAAATCAGGAGGCGGCTGCCAGAGAGAAGGGGAGCGCTTGATGGACAGACAGACAGACTAGTCAGTAAAAGCAGACACCCACCGCAGACCAGCTCGCTCTCTACGAACTTGAGGCTCCCTTTGTGCACAGCGTGGCTTCCCCGGCCCTTTCAATTCCTGTCAACCTGTCTTCCTGTTCACCTTCTTCTGCAAAATTTCTACATACATTTTTAAAAAATATCTATTTATTTATTTGAGAGGTAGAGTTACACAGAGAGAGAAGGAGAGACAGAGAGAGAGAGAGAGAGATCTTCCATCTGCTGATTCACTCCCCAAATGGCCACAATGGCTGCAGCTGTGCCAGTCTGAAGCCAGAAGCCAGGAGCTTCTTCCAGGTCTCCCACATGGCAGGAGGTCAAGTGCTTGGACCATCCTCTACTGCTTTCCCAGGCCACAGCAGGGAGCTGGATCGGAAATGGAGCAGCCGGGACTCGAACCAGTGCCCATATAGGATGCCAGCACAGCAGACAGTGACTTAGCTTACTATGCCATAGGGCCAGCCCCTACCATGTACTCTCAAAGCAACAACATGTAGCTACTCCCTTCTTCACGCCCAAGGTGCGTTCAGTACTCTCCTTTTTCTCTCATGGGGCCCTGAGATTTCTTCCTTTTGGCTTATCGCATTAGTTATAAATTATTTCACTGTAAAACACTAAAAGCACAGATAAACCTAGTCCTTTTGTCTCCAAAGAGCAAAGAAAGGAAAACAGTCCAGGTACCCCAAAGGCGGCCAGATCTACTTTTCAGAGGGAAGTCCATAGGATGTCTCCATCCATGTTCCTGGTCCTGTCAGTAAGGAGAAATCTAGAATCAAAAATGGACAGTTGCATGGTGGCTTCTGAAATCATTGGTCTACTTTACACATCTTCTTGTGTTAATAAATCCAAGAGTGACATTTGGGGTAGGAGAACGCTCTTATGATCTATTTCATATGGGAGTTATTTTAAGAACTTAGCTATAACAAAAACTCACCTGCTCCATTCGTGAGTCTATCAAGGAAAAAGCAAGATGGTAAAATGATGTGGGAGTGAAAACCACATTGTGGGAGTAGAATTTCTTTTTCACTTTTACTTTTCTTCCTCCTTTCCCTTGCTGGGGACCCAAAGAGACTCAGAGCCAACATATGGCTGATAGGAGGCCAAAGCTCTAAGAAATGGCATAGATTGTGTTGTGATCCTCTGCTCCGTCTCTCTGCACATAATGTCCTCATTGTCTCACTGAAACCAAAACTTCCCACCTCCCTATTAAAAAAAAAAAATAAAAAGCCCTAACCAGGAGATTTCTGGAGCCTCCATTGATAACACACAATGGCCTGTTTTTACAGGATGCTCCAGGGCCCTGGAGTAAGTCACTGTTAGCCACTGTGATGAAAGGGTAAGAGATGAGAGAGGGAGCTGATGGCTCATCAGCCAGATCCTGCCCTGAAAGGGAGCTCTGGGCACAGTCAGGAATTCGTAGCAAACAGGCATCTGAGAGAAGCCAGATTTATGCCTAAGGACAAGAATGAAGGGAATAGTCCCTAGCATCCTTTAGTTTAGGAGAGAAGGGGACAGGAAAGCAGAGGGAGGAAGCATGGAGGGGCAGGACTGTGACCAGAGCCAGTGCCCAACGTTGAGCTGGCCCCTTCCTCATCCGGGTCTTTCCGAGAGCACCCCTCCCAATCGTTGGCCACAGCGCCAGCTGTTTTTCTTGTTGCCGCAAGGTGAAAACTCCCATGGAGCTGTGTAAGCCTGCAGGGGTTCATCCACTGTGCATGCCCTCGCTCAAATCTCTGGACCCTGTGCAGGTGGCCCCTGCCATGGCACTAGGGAGTCTGAAGATGTGAGTTAGGGTCTCCACTCTAAAGGCCTGAGGGTCCTTCTAGATCATCCCGATGCAGCCAAGGAGAACACGTCCCAGCAGTGGTCAGAGAGAGAGGTCAGAGAAAAAGAACACTCGAAGGTCAGAGACTCGTGATGTCACTAATCTAGAAGACAGAGGAGAGGGCTACAAGCCAAGGAGTGTTGGCAGCCACCTGAGCAGTGCACTGAGACGTGAGGAAGCGGCATCCTGCAGCACCTTGATCTCAGCCTTCCAGACCCTGGAACCGAAAGAGCATGCTGATGTAAGTTTAAGGCACCCAGTGGATGGTGATTTAATATGGCAGTCCTAGGACACTAGTGCATTTAGGATTATTAGCTAAGCCATGCAAATAAAAAGCCTAAGTAGAAATGGTAACACAGATTGAAAATCCCTTACCCCAAAGTGCTTTGGACCAGAAGGAAGTATATTGGATTTCAGATTTCTTTTTCAAATTTTGGAGTATTTGCAGATGTATAAAATTACTTCTGACTGTGTAAAAGATATCTCTCAGACAAAAACTAATTTCATGTTCCGATTTATTGCCATCTCCAAAATATTTCATTATGATTCTGGAAATAGCATTTTTGGGAGGGAAGCCTACCTTTTGATGGCAACCATCACATGAGGTCGGGTGTTGAATTCTCTACTTACGTCATTGTGTGGGTGCTCCAAATGTTTGGATGTTAGAACATTTCAGATTTAGGACTAGTATGGATTTTGAAGTATTTCGGATCTGGGGGTTTGGGAGGACCAACCTGTATAGTCTTTCATTTATTAGTGCTATTACTTTGCCCGGTAGCATTCCCATGTAGGATTTTGGTTTTGCTATTTGCATGTGAGGCCCTAACCTGACTTCAAGTTCATGACTGAGTGGTGAGATCCTTGAGGATTCTGCCATCTCCTGGTGCCCCCAACCCTGTGGGGCTAGGCACCAAATAAGTGCCCACGAGGGAATAAATTCAATCAACGAGGGGCTCCTCAAGAACTCAGAAACGTAGGATCACTATCTTAGATCAAAAGCTTGACCCTGTGGGACCCCAGCCAAGCCTTTTCATGGTAGTTGACCGAATTCTCAGTGGAGACCTAACCCAGTCTTGTAGCTTACAAGTCATCTGCGACACTCAGTGGACCCTCCACAAATGTTTTCTAACTAATACAGAGAATATGCAAATGTCATAGAGTCAGTCTAGAGACCAAAGTCAAGCTGATGCTGCCAGAGAACAGGACCAAGTTTCCTAGGTGACGGGGCTGTGGATTTACCCATCCTGCCTCCGAGGGGAGCCTGCTGGGTCAGGTTCCCACCATCCTCCATGCAAACCTGAGTCCCCTGGCACTGTGACCTGGAGAAGACTTCTGATCTTTGCATTGCCATCTTGTGCACTTCTGGAAAATTCCAGAAAGTTCCTAGAAATTTCCAGAAAGTCTCTAGAAATAAGGGTTTTCAACAGAAGCTTCCCGAAGTCGTTTTCTGGCTAGCTTGGGCTCATCTCCTTCTGTCACAACCACTTCTCTCCCAATCAGCATCAACCATCTGCCCTCAAGGCTGAAGGGCCAAAACAAATAGGATTAGCAGCTGCTGTCCCCAGAGTGTGGGCAGCCTCCTGGGTGTTGGAGGAGCAGCCTGGCGGTTTCTAAACTGTCTGCCAGCCAAGGGCAGCCGGCGCAAGTCACTGGCCCAAACTCCATCCTCAAGGGAATTTGCAGAAACTGCACAATGAGAGAGGGAACCATATACAACTAGGTGGGAAATACACTTCCATGGGCAACTGTGCCCCCTACCCCAGTGCCCCAGTACAGAGAGCCATTAGAGAAGACTGTTGATTCCGGGTTTGGTAATTCCTCATTTATCACTGTGTAGTCTCATTCCACCCAAATAGGGCCGGGAGTCAAATGCCCAAGTCCCTTGTCTCTCTCATGGATGAAATTAATCATTTACTCAAATGAGATTTTCTGTACTTTCTTGGCGCGGCCACTCCTGCCCAGGCTCCTACTGCCCCAGACCAGAGAATGGCTCTGTTGTTCTCCCTTCTCGAAGCCCAAACAGCGACTCTGCTCCCCCCGGCCCCAGTAGCAGCCTCAATACTGTCTGCATTTGTAGGTCAGAAAGTCTATTCGTTCTTTTGATAGGACCGCTTCCTCTTATGCTGCGCCATTTAATGTTTCTAGTCCGTCTGTCTTGTCAGCAGTGCCATTCATGGGAACTGGGTTATCCTCCATTCTGTTCTACACGTGAGTGTCTTCCGTTGAGTAGAGAAAGCAGCAGTTTCTGCCATCTCAAGCCCAGGCACACTAGTAGAGAGCCCATTTGATTTTTAGTGGCTCCAGCTTTTGAGCTGAAGTTGAAAGCACTTTAGAAAGTAATTAGGGGACCAGTGCTGTGGCGTAGCTGGTAAAGCCAGCACCTGCTATGCTGGCATCCCATATGGGCACTGGTTCGAGTCCCGGTTGCTCTACTTCTGATCCTGCTCTCTGCTATGGTCTGGGAAAGCAGTGGAAGATGGTCCAAGTCCTTGGGCCCCTAAACCCACGTGGGAGACCTGGAAGAAGCTCCTGGATCTTGGCTTTGGATCAGCGCAGCTCTGGCCGTTGCTGCCAACTGGGGAGTGAACCAGCAGATGGAAGACCTCTCTCTCTCTCTCTCTCTCTCTCTCTCTCTCCCCCCTCTCTGTGTAACTCTAACTTTCAAATAAATTAATTAATTTAAAAAAAGAAAGTAATTGGTCCCTGAATGTCCATTTTCATGAGCAAATCAAGAATTCTTCCAAAATCAAAAGCTTGCCTGTGACCGAGCAGGATTTGCAATCAAATCTCCAATGGTTCACTCGAAGCTCTTCACACTATTCCAAGCCATTCCCTGAAGGCCCTTAGCCATTCTGTATCTGTTTGACAGGAACCCCATGCCCTCTACTCCTCCTGGAAAATTTCAGAGGAGAGTCCTGAGATCATCCGTCATGAGCCGCAGGACAGCTCACACCCATCTCAGAGGTGGGAGGCATATTTTTCTCTAAGCATCTACCCTACAGAGTTCTGCAGACTATGGGTGGGGCAAGCTATGAGCAAGTGTGACGTGCTCTTCTCTGGGGTGAATGCAGAATTCAAATATCTTAAGACAGCAGTTCCTGGCAAGTTACGAGGGAACTACAAAAATGTTCATGGAAAATGAAATTAGAAAATAAGTTAATATTGGTGCAAAAATATCGAAGTAGCTGCATGTAAGACGTCTTCAAAATGGTTAGGAAAAAACTGTGCATGATTTTTTAAAATGTTTTCACCAAAATAAACTCATCTTTTCATTCTATTCCCATGACTTGACGAAGTCGCCTCTTACAAAATCCCCTTTTACCCTCCAAATAGTTATGATGAGGATGGAATACCAATGTGATATTTGATAGCACACACAAACTTTTCACCCATAAAAATCCATGTGGTCAATAAGTAATCTTTATTTTACTTGCCTCTTTGCAAATTTTTTTCTTGAAAACGTGGAGAAAAAAATTGCTCTCTATCTTGTAGTACAACATAAATTATCTGAGAAGAATTTGCTAATCCTTCTATTTTGACCAAATGATTCCCGCAGATGGCCGTGGAACCAAGACCCAGATCCAAGACAGACTATGCCAAATGAAGAAATGGAAATAAATTTGAAAGGTGGAAACTTTGGATGGAAACTTTTTTCCCCTTGCTTTCCCACTTAGGGTCTTCTCTGAAGTGTGAGATGGCTCCCCGATGCCACAGTGGGAGAGTCCATTTTCAAATGGAAAGTTTTGTTCTAAGTGCCAAGAGCCGCTTAGCCCTAGAATAACCTTTTGTTTTTCCTTTCTGACTTCTGCCTCTCCTTGCCTGCACTGTTTTCTCATAGTTTTATTTTGGTTTAGGTTTTCTATAGGTTTCTGTGGGCGTGTTAAGGAAAGGGAGATCTTTGGCTTTGTAAAATTTGATCAGAATATGGTCCAAAACCAGACTTATAAAAAAAAAAAAAAAAAAAAAAAACTGGGAACCTAGTGAAGAAAGCAGGCTACATGGTATGGCCTCACCTTCCTGTCACTGTCTTTCTTGATCCAATCCAAGTTTGATTTTCAGTAGATGTTTTTTTTTTTGCTATTGTTTTCCGAGCTCAGCGTTTACCTGTGAGTTGTCATGGTTGTGTAGATCCATTTTGTTTGGCTCTTTGGTGTGTTTTATGGGATAAACACTGCAGGCTCGATTTCAGATTAGCTGGCCTCAAGCACAGTGACGTTTCTGGGTAAGTATGAGAGAACCAGAAAGCCTTCAGTCTTATCTTCAGCCTTGTCCAACCCATACGATTGATGCACTGAGAACAAAACCCATGCCCTCTCACTCCCTGGAGTCTCAGGCGTGAAGTTCTCTCTTGCTCTCTGATAGGCCGCAAGTTGTAACTTCTCGTGAGACATTTACCTGGATTTCACGGTGGCTTCCAAGTAGACCTCCAGTGGCCAAGGGTGAGAGAGGCTCACGGACCAGATTCACATCCCGAGTCACGTGGTTTATTAAATCAATGTAGAACCTAGAGCCGGAAGCCAGGGGAAAGAGTTTGGAAAAGAAGTTAACCCAATGGCATTAAAGGTGTCCCAGAACTTTGTATCATGCACCGTTGACTCATCCCAACTCCCTCTTCCTCTCTGCTGCCTGAGTCTTCTCACAGCCAGGCCTGCTCTTTGGACGAGGGTTCATGCTTCAGCAAGAGGGCCAGTGCCTGCGTGGACCTACAACCTACACACACACTCCCTCTTTTGGAGAGATGCAAACTACAGCTTGCCAGTTAGCCTGAGAAATATCTGTGGATTTTTATCTGACTTTCTTAGTGATGGTACGTTTCAGGCCAAATTAAACATCCCTGATGATTGGCTATTGTAAGACTATGTGAATATTGAGTACCTTGTACACCTCATGAGTGTTTATTTGATGTGTTGTAGTTATTTAGTCTCAAATATATCATGATCTGTTGCCCTATATATGTCAAGAGAGGAGAACTGATGGGATTCATGGATGGATGGATGAATGGATGGGTAGAGAGACAGACAGAGATATACAATATGTGAAAGAGCTCTTGGGGGAATTAGTTCATGAAATTATGGAGCCTGAGAACTCCCACATTAGACCGTCTGCAAACTGGAGGTCCTGGGATGTTGGTTGAGTGGCTCAGTCCAAATCTGAAAGGCTGAGAACCAGGGAAGCCAACAATGTAGCTTTCAGTCCAAGGCTGGAAGCATGAGAACCCAGGGGGTGAAGAGGCTGCTGATGTGAAGCCCCCACATTTGAAAGCCAGAAAGCCTAGAGTTTTGACGTTCAAGGGCAGGGGAACAAGGGCATCCCAGCTCCAGGAGAACGTGGAGAGAGAAGTTGGGCCTTTCCCCTACCTTTTTTGTTCTATCGATGTCCCCTGTAGACTGGATGGCATCCACCTACAGGGAGGGCAGATCTTCCTCCCTCAGTCCCCCAGACTCAAATCCAGTCCCTTCTGGAAACATCCTCATACAGACACTCAGAAATAATAGCTTACAAGTTCCTGGGTATTTCCTTTTTCTAATTTAAATGAAAATTAAAGATTCTGTTTATTTATGTGAGAAATACTTATAGATAGAGAGCAACAGAGACAGGGAGAGAAGTCTTCCATCTACTGGTTCACTCCCCAGTTGGCCACAATGGCCAGAACTGCACCGATCCGAAGCCAGGAGCCAGGAGCTTCTTCCGGGTCTCCCACATGAGTGCAGGGGCCCAAGGACTTGGGCCATCTTCCACTGCTTTCCCAGGTCATAGCAGAGAGCTGGATTGAAAGTGCAGTAGTCAGGACTAGAACTAAGTGCCCATATGGGATGCCAGCATGTTAGGCAGAGGCTTAGCCCATTATACCACAGCACAGGCCCCATTTCCTTTTTTATGAAACATTTATTTATTTGAAAGGCAGAGGAGAGAGAGAGAGAGAGAGAGAGAGAGAGAGAGAGAGATGTTCATCTGCTGGCTCACTCCACAAATAGCCGCAATAGTCAGGGCTGTGCCAGGCAGAAACCAGGAACCTGGAACCTCTTCTGGGTCTCCCACGTGGGTGCAGGGGCCCAAGCACTTGGGTCGCCCTCTGCTGCTTTCCCAGGCACATTAGCAAGGAGCTGGATCAGAAGTGGAGCAGCCAGGACTGGAACTGACACCTACACAGGATGCCATCATTGCAGGTAGCTGCTCTACCCACTATGCCAAAATGCTGGCCCTGTGGATATTTCTTAATTAGCCAAATTGACACCTAAAATTAACCATTGCAACCCCCCTCCCCTTCTGTCTTTCTTTAGCACTGATGAATTCATTTCACACTGTCCATGGCTAGCATGTCTCCCAGTTACTCACTTCTCTGTACCTAACAAATCATGCATTCCGTATATTTCTCATAAGCTACTTGCCTGTGTGTCTTATATGACTCGCACCTGCCTCATTCTAATGTCTTCTATAGCCTGGTCAAATATCTTAAATCATACAGCAAATGCAACACAGACAACATTCACAACTGGTTGTGTGGTATAGTAGGACAAAATAGAACTAGTAGACGTCAACAAAAACTCTTCCTTTTTATTGGGAAATATTTCTTTTAATTAACACCTCTCTGATGTCCACACCAACAGAACCCTCAAAAAATTTTTTTAAATTATCATTTCAATCGATAGCACTATGTATCATCTAGTTCCTGAAGTCCAAAACCAAGGGAACAAATTGAGTTCTCTTGCCCTCAACTCCGCCTACTCTATCCCCGCCCCCAATAGGCCCTAATGAACTGGCCTCCTACACTCATTCTTCTCCCACCCACTTCTCTCCATCTGTGAAATGGTCACTCTGCCTAAGGCGGGTCTCTGGTCTTAACCATGCATGCCTACCAAGCAGTATCTCAGTGCTCTCTCTGTCTCTCTGCAGCTCAATTTTTTCCATACAGCAAGCACAGGGGTCCTTTAAATCAGTGTGAATGCCCCCCAGCTGCTTCCAGGCCAATGTCAATCAAAATATGCTCAGGGAGGGAGGAAATAACCCAAATGTCTATCCATGAGAAACAGACAAGCAAAATGTGGCCTAGCCATGCAACAGAATATTATAGTCACATTAAAAAGGAAGTTCTGTTGTATGCGAGAGTATGGGTGAATCTGGACATGGAGCTACATGGAAGAAGCCAGCCACAAAGGACCGTATAGTGTATGATTCCATATATATAGCAAATGTCCACAATAGCACATCTACAAAAACAGAAAGTAGCTTGATGCTTATATAGAGCTAGGGAGGGCTGGTTGGCAGGATGGAAGTAACAGCTAACGAGTACAGGTTTCTCCTGTAGTGATGAAAATACAGAATGATTGATTATGGCGATGACTGCGTGTGTCTGCCAATACTTGCAAACCAAGAATAACTTCTCCCCTTCAAATGGGTGGATTGTGTGGCTTGCGAATTGTTTCTCGGTAACGCTGTTCTGTTTTTGTTTTTGTAGAGTAGCCAGTTGGCAGGCTTCTGAATCCTACGTGAGCTTGGAGTCATTTTCGTTCTTAGGCTCCACCCTTGACATACTAAAGAGTCTCTGGGGGTGGGTCCAGTAAGCTGCACTTTAACAAGCACTGAAGTTGGTGAGACACAAAAATAAATTATAATTCAGATGCCTACAATGCTTGCCTCTGAAATCTTTGTATGTTTGACTCCTTTGTACCATTCAATTTCATCTTAAATATTTCCTCCCAGAAGCTGTCCTGGACCATTCTACCTAAATTCGCTTACCATTCACTGGGTCCCATCACCATTACATCTATTTCACCACACTTATAATAATTTGGTACTTTCAATCTTATTTGCTGGTAGGCTGTCTACCTGCCCCCTGGAGCGTCAACAGACCCTTCCATAAAGTAGGCACTCAATAAATGTTGAGTTAATGAAGTAATGAAGAAGAGGCATGGACCCTGAGCTCACGCCCTGAAACACCTACCCTGCCACTCACTAAACCCTGGGACTCTGCTCAGCCCTGTGTATCTTGCCAAGGGACTGGCTTGCTAACCATCCCACACCAATTAGCACCATCGCCTTGCAATGCACAAGACCACCCTAAGCTAAGGACAGCAGAGGGAGACAGGCAAAACGTAGGAGGAAGCAATTTTTCTTCTCTACCAGATCCAAAATTCCTCAAGAATGGCCCCAATGCCTGCTACAAATTAGAGGCCAAAAAAATGTTTGCTTAACTCTTGAACTAAATGCTTAGGAGGTAAAAAGGAATTTGTTCTGGCTCTCTAAGAAACCAGACCCCTGAGAGATGCCCCCTCTACTCCCGCAAGTCCTTTGAGGCCCACCTGGACGTTCAATTCTTTGGCCTTCCCTGTCATTTCTGTTAAATGAGATATCTGTGTTTGAAATGAACACCATTGTTTAGCCATCATTGGTGGAAGCCAGTCACTGTGCATGCATTCCACCCGTAATAAGAAATAAATCCCTTAAACCTGTAATTTGCCCCTGCTGGTTTAGAATTTTGAAGTCCAAGAATGCACTTACCATTGAGGAAGTTAGTTCTGGGACTGGCTGGCTCTGCAGCTATGTATGTAGCCATTGTTCATGGCTGAGGGACGGCGGGGGCGGGGTGGGGTTGGGGGGACTCGGTGCTCCGTTCGCATAATGAACCTTATGTTTCTAAACACAGGTGCGTTTGGATGTAGACATCTGTGCCATTATGGGTGGTGGGGGGAGCACACAATGGCAGCTCTGAAATGGGCCCCTCTGAAATGTGAGATGGTGTTACGGTAGCGGCTCTTATCAGCGATGTCATTTCTTTGATGCTACAGCACGGTGCCAAGATGCTGGTGATGAAGCTATTTATCATCCCATCACGTTTTCAACGGATTGGATGCTCTCTACCGGTGTTTTCAACATGTTGCCTCCCACTGGCGGGGGCTGGGCAGGGGGTGGGGGAAGGCTCTTGCCTGAATTCATTCATTGTCATTCTATTGAAAAGGGTTGTCCCAGGACCCCTGTCCCATCCCCCTTATCATTTCAGATTGTTTTGTATGCCAACTTCGCATTTCATCCCTGCTATTTGATGTGTAAAAATGAAAGCTCCTGGGAAATCCTCCCTGCCCACTGCCCGATGGATGGCTCCGATAAGGTCCTGGGAAATCATCAAAAATATGCAAGACAAACAAAGCGCCTATCAGATGCCCCACGGACTGCATAGACATGAGTTCCTTATCTTGGTTACAGGAGTGTCCCCCCCGCCCCACCCCCGTAATTCAGGTATCTACAGGGATGGATTCAGGAGGGTTCAAGTCTTATAGAAATTGCTATTCTTGTCTTTTCACAGGCACATAGGTCCTGGAAATTTAGATTTTAGATTTTTTGTTATAGTTAGGCATATGGTACACTATAATTTGTGCTTCTCCTCTAAGAATGAATTTTTCAAAACAATCATGACAAAAGTGCACTGCTGTCCGTAAGTAGCCAAGGGGAACTGGTTCCAGGACCCCTGGAGATACTAAAATCCTTGACTGTTCAAGATCTTTGTAT